AGATGAGTTTGATTTCTGCGTCTTTGATGCTTTGGTTAATTCGGTTTTGGCTTGTGTAGTGGCCACAAGGGAGTTATCAATATTGGAGCCGATATCATCTATGATTTATTAATGTTGATTAACTAACTAACTTGGTAGGAATAAAAAAAGGTTTAAGGAAGAAATAACTCACCAATCATATTTCCTTGATCATGAACCAACACTGCAAGATCTTTGAATATTTCATTAACCTCTCCAATTTGCTGTTGGATCTCCTGTATGCCCACTTGTCGCTCCTCAATGATAGCTTCATTAAAAGCAATCTCATTATCCAACAACAGTACCTCCTGCCTGAAGTTCCCAAAAATTGATGATGATCAAACATGTTTTTGAATGCACAAAATAAAAAAATTCTATATCCATCAGATTCAGATAAAAAATATCTTCAGTTACATGTAGAGAAAGATGCACAGTAATTGAAGTTCGAAGAATGCTTACAAAAATCATTGAAATTGCTCTACCTACAATAAACTATTAGTCCTTTGCCCTCAACTTAAATGTACAGATTTGCCGATACTACACATTTGTTTGTATACGAGAGATAAAAAAAAAATATATTCTTTTGTGTGGGTAAGCATATAGAGGTATATTAAAAATTATACCAGCAGAAACTGAACATAATTTAAATAAGCTTAAAGGCCAGAAAAAGCAAGTCATTATGCACCTTCTTGACTCAACTAACAGAGCACGCTCCACTGGAGTTTTCTCAGAACCAATACCAGCCTCACTTGCAGTGTAGCTGCATAAAAATGTCACTAACAAAGTTAAAATTTGAATATGAAGAATAAATATGAATGTTGCAATGTGCATAGAGCTTCAGTTGTTATTTGGATAACCACAAAAACATCCCATAACATGTAAAACTAAAATTCAGTCATAAATTCCCCCAAGGCAGCAACTTGACAATGTTGTAAAATTCACAAGAAATAATTCCTTAGTCATTTCATTCTATATTATAAAATTGTTAATGCATCACACAAAATGAAATTGTATTTTTGGGAACTGGTTAAACTGCATAAATCATAAAAAACTATTATACTTGACAAAGATGTGAAATTCATGAATTGCTTTCGAGAAACTTTGAGGGGAAAAAATACGAACTGTAATAAAATTTTCAATT